AGCAAATCCCAGTTCTTCAATGAGATTAAGGTCTGGACTCAATGGTGGCCAATCCATGTGTGAAAATGCTCTCTGAACCACTCTTTGACAGTTAGAGCCCAACGAATCCTGGCGCTGTCAAATATAATTAAAATATCCCTGTGTCACAAATGGATGGAAAAAGCTGGTCTCTCAGTATATTCAGGTAGTCAGCTGACCTTGTTTTCTGAACACAGACCACCTAAAAATTACAATGAAAACTGCAACCACAGGCTTGCATGGTAGGTACTAGGGATGGTCGATGCACCACCACTCTGGAACAGGGCAAATCTGGACTCATAAGACCACGTGATCCTTTTTTCATTCCTCCACAGTCCAATCTTTATGCTCCTTGGCAAACTGAAGCCTGTTTCCCCAGTTAGCCTCATTGATAAGTGTTTTCTTCTGGCTACAGAGCTGTTTGTTCTATCGTTACATTTTTACAATTTGATTTCACCAAACATATAAATGATCTCCAATCATTTTCAAGATTTGTGCCAATTTGCAAGGGAAACAGCAAGGGCTTAACATATTTTTGCACAAATGTTGTTCTTTATATGTGAATGTTTGGTTCTTTATCGTATCTCCTGGCTAAATGCTTAAAGCAATAATTTCAGCTCTGGTTGCTATGATTAGTGCACTGCAAATATTTTGCTCGGCAAGCCCTTCACGTTTTCCGCCCACCCCTAAAAATTCTTTATGAAAGGAACACCTGTCCATTTACCCAAGTGGTCCTTGAGACATGAAGTCCAGACTCTCACTTCTATTACTTCTTAATCCTTGTTTAGAAACAGCGCAAATCCTTGAACTTTTTTTAAGTGGGCCAATTTACAGTAGCACCTGGGGCTCTGGCCTTTATAGCCACTTTCATCACATTGTAGCTTTCATATCATATGACTGTGTGTGTGTGCGTGTGTTTGTTTAAAAGCCAAAAGGAGGCGAGAGGAGGGAGAAGGGAACGCCAGACCAAAAGCCAGAAGAAAGGAAAAAAAAAAAACCCTTATGCAGCTGAACTGAGACTGATGGGTGTATACATGGGAAAGGGCAGCCATGTGGAAAAGACAACATCAGAAAAAAAAACATATAAACAGGAGAGTTTATAAAAAAAAGCGCCCCCCCCTTTCAAAAGTAGAAATCCTGTCCATCCTCGCCTCATCCTCAGGTAATTTGGAGGCAGAATAACGTGCATACTGATGACCCGATCCCAGGGCGCTCTGACAGCAAGGAGACAGTCCATCGGCGAGGGCTGCCAGGAGCCGACACGCTACACAAACAGAAAAACACACAAAAAAAGGAAAAGAAAACAAAGCGGAAAAAAGCGGGGGCGGCGATGAGGAGCAAGCATGCGGGCGAAAAGCTGTCAAAAAACAGGCGAGACAGACGGACAGACGGACAGATGGAAAGGGGAGAAAAAAAAGGGGCCCTATCATCTGGCTTCACACCCCGCAGGATGAACAGGGCCTCTGTGCTCCTTCCCTGTTCAAACACACCTCACGGCTGTCTGCTCCCTGCAACAACAATGCGCACACACACGCACGCACGCACGCACACACTGCAGCCTGCCTAACAGTGGGCACAATAACCCTATTGAGAGGCATCGATAGGGGGCTGAAAGTGAAGAGAATGAGATGCTGAAAAAAGATTGACAACTCACACATACAGTCTCCCGAACCCAGCAGCACACATAAATCCACACAAACAAATCGTAGCGTGGTTATCCTGCCAGCATGACAGCCTGGGATGAATCTACTCTCTGCTGTCCTTAATTCATCATTCATCTGTCCAATCTGGTCACACACACACACACCACACATACACACACACGACTAAAATCACACACACAAACAGTTGTTTGGTCAGGGGCGGACCAGCAGTATTGTTACACAGGGGAAGAAGGGTGGTGGTAGCGGATCTCCGAACTCTTTATCTGATTACTCACACACACCCACGCAGAAACGCTCAGTCACACAAGCATGTACACACACGCACACTTTCACCATGCTTTCTCGTCAGCTGCTGTGCATGACCCCGACCACACACAGACTAACGAGTTGGTGCTGCAAGGCAAGAAAGTCCCGGGATCGTTCACATGCAGGTTTATCGTCTTTCCAACAACTGCACCCATTCTGCTGAGGACTGTGGCTAGCGCGGCTATCAAAACATATTTTAGGCTGTGCTCAAAGCTTTGCAAGGTGACAGCCTGGATTAGGGTCAATCAACCAAATGTGACAAAAATGCCCACCTGAGCCCCTCCATCACACGATTCAAGTATTTTTAATGAAGGCATGCAAAACTTTATCTACATACTAGGTCCTCAAATTTTGCTCTTTTTAAAAATCGCTTGTTTTTTTTTTTGCATTTTTAGCCCTTATAATCCCAAAAGTACAACGGCTAGCCACATGAAGGGCTAAAAACAAACAGACCATCTCTCATGTCCATGCATGTTCACTTTATGAGGATTCTGAAAATGTTCTTCAGCACCTAAAGCCATTTGATCACCTATTATATGGAATATGTGAACATCCTTTCACAGCTACCAGTCATTAACAAAAAAATCATTTTCACACTGCTGGACAGAGCTTAAGGATGAGCCTGGTATTAAAATACAGGTTAAAATCGAGACCTTTGGGAGGTGGTTTAGCTCCCTGGGTTGAATGGGATACCAATATGCCGCAAGGCCACCACAGATCATTTCCTGCATGCTTTTCACCTTACTCCATCTTCCCGTCCTTTCCTATCTGCCTCACAGAAAAGCAGAAATTCCACATGCTAAAGCTTAATTTGACCCAAGTGCAACTTTGCCAGTGCAACAATGATATATGCTGCAGAACTGGTGCTCGAATTAGAAAATACAAAATAAAAATAAATTTGCCTTCAGATTATAACGCTAAGATTTTACCTCACCCTTAAACTGGAGCAAAACTGATTTGAAACCAACATTTCATGAAATTATTAAGGGTCCGAAATACTAAGATGAATGTCAAAACCTTTTCATGTTCTTTGAGGGACTGTAAAACTGCTAAACTTCTAAAATCCTGATTCTTCAGGGGTCAGGTGCCATGTGTTGATTCATTTCATATAAAAACGAGACATTACTAACTTGCGCTTGCATTCTGTGCATGTGTCCAAATCGTGCAGCAGCACGCCTTCCTTTGAGGATGAGTTGGCATCTTGAAAGCGAGGAGCTCATACCAAATATTACCAAAGCTAAAACAAAGACACACTCAGGAACAGTCTGCAGTGCTTGGCCCAAAACTCGACCCATAAATGTCCGAGTCACTTTTTCCACACTCAGCAACTCCTGATTGCTGTATAGAAATGCTACAAGAGGGAGGGAGGGCAAAGGAGCGAGAGAGAGAAAATGACGAGGGAAAAAAAGGATGAAGCGACGACAGAGGCTGGCAACACAGAGAGGAGCAGAATATAAACCAACTTAACCCAAACCCAAAAGCCCTGAGGAATTAGCAATGACATCATGTACACACACACACACACACACACACACACTGCAGAGAAGGGCTAGGCTTGAATGAAAAGCAAGACAGCAGGGTACAGAGGCTGCAAGGATAGCGAGGGAGGCGAGGCAGAGGATGACAGTGCACCATTTCTACTATGGTGGTACAGCCAGTGACACATTCAGTTTTGCAATTGCACAAATTAACTCACCAAACCGACACCACCACAACCACAGCTTAAAATAGAGAGCACAAGCTGTTTACCAACAAAGTGCTTATAAAAACTAAAAAAAAAGGAAGCAAAGGCAGGAAAAGGGAGTACTGGGAAGATATTTAGATCAAACTCAAAGCATGCTTTACTCATGAGGCTTTTTAACATGACTGCACCTTTGAAACAGATACACCAGTAAGCAAGTACCAGTGCAAATGTGATGCAAAACAAATACAACAGAGCCAGGAGAGAAAGGCTGGCAGTGAAACCTCAGTGGTGCACTCTAAAAGAAGAAATCGGGTCCTCTGACAATTGGTGTTATTGTCAACAACTTCAGCCCTCCTTCTCCTCATAGGCTGCAATATATTACATGAACTGTGTCCCGAGCGTTTACAGTCTTACCACAAGAGTCAACAGTGACGCTCCCTCTAGGTGTTTATGCACAATCATTACGTATCCCAAACTCTCACTCTCTCCCCTCTCTCTCTCTTTCTCCCCCCTACCTCTAAGAAAATTAAAACAGGAAAGCTATTCACATCCTCCTCTAGATTCTTTATATCGCAAAAACATAAACATGCAATTAAGTGGCTCCATGTTTGCATAAAACAAACAGCCGTATCTTCTCAGGGAGCTCTGGCAGAAACAACCAGAGGAAGGCTGGAAATGATTAGCTAGCCACAACCAACCAGGACCAAGCACCACTGCAAGTCCCTGACTGGGCTCCCAGGGGTTTCTGATGGCCTACAGCCCCACACACTATTCAATGTAATATGCCTAAGTGAAGAGAATACCCCCTTTATGCCTGTTTGTTTCACAATGAGCCTTTTTATTACTTAAATTGTTGCTGTAAACAGAGCACGACATGGGAATGTTTCCAACCTCTGGATGGAAACCACAGGACGGAAAACTGGCGCAGGCTGAATTAATCTGTCATCTAATTAGTTCCAAACAGAAAATTAATAATTGATTAAAGGTTTAAGCCACTGTTGGAGTGACAGACTGATACTTGTTGGATCAATCATCTTAAATTTAAATGATTTACTATACAACTGAAGATGTGAGGAAGGTCACATTGTTGCCTGATCCACGAATAACTGATAAAAACACCAATCTAGGATTCATTCAAAAATTTGTTTTGTTTTTTTTTTGGTCACTTGCCGAAATGAATATTACATCTTACTGACTTAGCTTAATGCACCAAACTGGCTAGTTGCCTCATATGAAGGTATTTAGGGGTGTGAAGCATAAAAAAACCCTTGTTTTTGTCTTGAGGTTGGCCAAGTTTGGATGATTGGACAGTTTTCCCCGTCTCTTACCTGAGCCTAGGCCCTCTGCATGAAGACGACACACGTTTAAGAGCCGTTAGGTGCCACAAAGGTTATTTTACACGTATGTTGTGTCCACAATCGGACGGTTCTCCTGTTTTTCGGTCCCCTCGACACAGCGGCTGAGTTAAAAAGTCAAGCTGGAGTCAGCGGCAGCTGCCTTGCCCGCGTCCGTGCTCCGTTTACGGCTGCGCATTGAACGTGTGACTCCCTGAACGCTGTGTGAGAGCTCGTTCACGGACACCGGGAAAATCCGTGACAATAAAGTGAAAGAAGCATACCCTGGGTCCCGTAAATGCCCCCTCCCCTCATCTGCCGCCCCAGCCTGTCCCCCTATACCACCACCACCTTCGCCAACCGTTTGTAACACAGCGGGCCCCTCAGATGCCAATCACTGCGTCGCCCGGGGAAGATTACAGGAAAAGTTAACTCCCGTTTTTCATTTGAACGAGACGTAAAACGACCGCAAGTCCCTGCGTTGAAGCCAAATTTATCGGCATACCACATCACTCACCTCTTCTCCTGCGGGTTCACGTACTCCTCGCAAAGCTCCTGTCTTTTTTCTTTCTCTCCACCCCTCCGTTCTCGGATTGTTTCCCTTTTCTCCTCCTCCCTCCCAGATGCCGCTGGTCTCCGGCAGGGGGAACCGGGGGACGCTGCTCCGGAAGCAAACGCTCCTCTGTTTTTACTGCATACGCAGAGAGCGCTCTAATCTGTGATGCCTGCTGGCAGCTTTAAATCAAGAGGTTGACTAGGAAAGATGAACTGTTGGTTAGGAAAGCATTCTCCAAAAAAAAAAGTGACAATGAAAATGTCGACAGAAAGCATGATTATTCCTAACACACGAGATGGGAAGGAATACCTGCAGAGAATAGGTTAAAATGTATAATATAATAATAAGCAAGCATAATGTGGAAATTACTGTATAAGCAGTACTGTGCAAAAGTCTCGAGACATCTTAATTTATTTCTTTCCAGAGTTTTCCTTTGGACATAGGTTGTTTTTTCACTATTTTTTCAGTTCAGATCTTGCACCTGAAATTTTGTTGAGTTTGTTTGTTTGTTCACACACTTAACACATCTTTAGGTACACACAATTTGTTCTCATATCTTTAGATGAAGTCATATAAAATGCCAATTGGGGCTTTACATAGCTTTATTTTTCAGCACGACAAACATCCCAAATACACCGCAAATGCAATAAAAGCACACTCGGATAGAAAAACACATCCAATGAAACTATCAGTCAAGATTTGGCCTCCCCAGAGCAAAGACCTAAACACTATTAAAGTGTTGTGGGATCATGTGGACAGAGAACAGAACAAAAGGCAGACAGCATCCAAAGACAAGCTTTGAATGACCTTCAAGAAGCCTGGAGAACTAAGACTCCCTAAAGAAATGACAAGAAAGCAGCCTGAAAGAGTTGAGGCTGTGCTGAAGAATAAAGGTGTCATACCAATTATTGACTTTCAAGCTTATTTAAATTGTTCAAACTCTGTTTTTGCCATATATACTGAATTTTTATGTACGTTTGCACATGTTGGCATCAGAAGCTGGTTTTCCTTACATGCACAAACAACCAGCACTTCAACGGCATCTAAGTCTGGACCTTTGCTTTCGACTATAGCATTTTATAACATCAGTTTCTTCTATGTGGAAATGATAATTGTTTGAATGAAGCTATCAGCAATTTCCCTTGGACATCTGCTATCTGTTAGATATGATCCGCGCTTAATAGTAGGTATTAGAGTCTTCTCTTTAAAAAGCTCAAAAATGTCTACTGCTGCTGTGGCCTCCCTCTTTGATTTGTCTGTCTGTTTTCACTAGCAAACTACAGATTTGCTCTAATGCTCTGTGAACAGTGAAGACTTTCTCCTTGCAGGTCAAATTAGTGGCAAATCCATGTTATTGTAGATTCTTTTCATTTTTACTAGATACAAACACTTTTAAGCCTCAAGCAGTCTGCTCTTGGGCTGAATTTTATAGGTTGTTTGAAATCCTCAGCTCTTGGAAATTTTTGTTTGTTTATATTTTAAATCCTTTCCCAGATTCACACACTAGCTTTATGATTTTAAGGTATGATAAAGTTAGTGGTGTACTTACCTTTTCTATGTGACTAAACTGTTATTTCATTCTTTTCAACTGTGAAAATAGTACAAAATGTCAATTGTATGTATATCTCTTTGATCCCCTTATCCAAGCACTGGTGCATAAAAAAAATCAAATATTTGCTTGTTCAAATATTTTCAAAAGGTTAACTATTACTGCAAGTACAGTGTAAATAAACCTGTTGTTATAGCCGTTTGTACTGATAATAAGCAAAACTGTGCAACAGTTGAGCCACAAACAAAAACTGACTGTGTTTTTGTTTGTGTCTGTATCTTTGTATCTTAAAATTTTGGCAAATTTTAAGATACATTTCATAATATACACAAATGAATGCCATATAAGATCTGGCAACAGTGCATATTTAGTTAAGGCTGAAAAATATAATACACACATACACAAATTTAAAAAAAAAAATCAGTTCAATTCAATAAAAGTTAAGTGGGCATAATCCAGTTTAGGCTGGAGCCATGTTGGGTCTATGAAATGTGGAGTTTAATGTATGCTGGAGTTTATGTTTGAGTCAACACGTGAAGTGAAATATTTCTGTATTTAGAGGATTTAACAGGTTGCTTTTGACTTTTCCTCTGCTGCTATCAATTGGTCATGATAACATTTACAAATTAAACATTTCTATGAGTTGTAGTTTGCAGTGAGCGCTTTATGTTGCACCCTTAATATGAATAATACAAATAAAGACAAAACTTAATTTTATTTATTTAATCATAAAATTAATATGGTGTCATTCAGCATAGACCAAATTTGTCAAAGGGGAATAGTCTTTTAAAATGATGACACCTGGTGGTGAAATCTGCTTACTACACTGTGTGACGTGATACTTAGGCATTTTGAATTAGTCCAAACTAAATCACATAAATGGGTCTTTATTGTAAAGTTATTTTGTGACACACTGTGTCAAGTATTTATAACTGATCATTTGATTTAACAAAGAAAGTAACGCTTACACCTTTAACAATAAAATAAAGTAATTTTGGCGATGTTACTAAAAAAAAATCTAATCTAATAATATATATATATATATATATATTTTTTTTTTTTTTTTTTTTTTCTCTAATTAAAAACCCAGTTGGAACTGCTGGCATGGGCTCTAAATCTCCAGTAGCCTCCATTACATGAAATGTAGTAAGTGTATTTAAGTAATGTAAATCATTCATTTTTTGCTAACTTTATTTTATGTATACTATATTTATTTATTTATGTTTCACAGAAAATAAAATGTTTTTTCCACCGGAAACCTGGCCAAGAGGGCAGCAAAAAGCAAAAATTGCAACTAATATAAACGCCTGCTGCGATTACTCCAATCCTCCAGGGGGCGCAGTGATAAAGCCACCGAATAGTTGCAGACCAATCACCGTTTTCCAGCAGTTTGAACAAGAAGCGGGTTGGATTATTCCGATTTATAGCAAGACAAGAAAAAGATAAAGCTAGCAACCATGGATACAGGCTAAAACTGTTATTACGCTTGAGTTAGTTGAGTTAGTTGAGAATTAGTTCTTCGGTTACGCTTTATTAAAATCGTTGTAGTGGTTTTGTGGTTTTGCACTGTCAACGGTCGATATATAAACCTGTCAGACTGCGGCTTACTCCTGTGTGCTCCAGCCGCGGTAAATCTCCATTTGTAGTTTATAAAAGTTTTACCTTTTGGCACGGTTGTAGCTGGGAAGTCAAACATGAAGCCAGTAAAGCCGCTATATCTGAAGACATACGGGAAACAGAGGCGGAAGGTGTCCGCCTGGATCTCACCTGAAGACCGCAAGCAGGCCTTCGACAGCACCGCGTCCTCCTCGGATGTCTCCGTCTTTGAGCCCTCCAAACCTCAGAGGATAAGGTATGTTTATAATTTTCTTTACTAAACCGTCTTTTCAATATTTTCTCTACATTATCGATCCCAAAATCTGTGCAGCTACTTTTTGGTTTTAGCTTATAAGAAATATACTATTATTATTGTGTATGGAAGCCAAAAAAGCCACAGAAATGCCAGTCCATACAGTCACATATCTGAAGTTTTTAGTTAGCTTTTATCTTTTATCTTAAATACACCTAACTGTAGCTAATTACAGTAGTGGCAAAAATGTAGAGTAAATCAACAGTTTGTACATACATAACAACCCCCTGTGGACGTGTGCAAAGTACAGTTTAGTTGTCAATCAGAGTTTCCTGCTCTGATTGTGAGCTTGTCTGTCTTCATTGCTCCATCTGCTTTTCATTTAACAGAGAGAAGAGCACCAACGCCTTGAGTGGCAGAACCGTTCGTCCTGCCAAGAAGAAAGCAATGCTTTGTCTGACTGAGAAGAGTATGGATGAAGGGGACATGAGCAATGAGGAGAATGCACCTCCTCTCCCTCCACCTGCTCAGCAGAGCAGGACAGCCAGGTCTGTGAATATTGTAATAAATGGTGAATAACACTGCAGTCACTAATACTGCATTTGAGTTATTAGATTATCTCAGGCTAGAAAAATATCCTTGAAGTAGTTTGCTTTTTTTGTATTGTATGTGTGAGTGGTCCACACCATTTCTTTCCCTTCCTTAGAAAGAAGAAGAGTAGTGTGGCCAGTTGTAGAGCAGTGCGTCCTGCTAAAAGAAAGACCATACGTCGTATAACAGAGACTAGCAGCGATGAGGAGAACAGCAGGATGCTCGCTCCACCTCCTCCTTCTGTATTAACTCAGCAGAGCAAGACAACCAGGTCTGGGCATTTAAAAACAACAACAACAAAGCAACAACACATTACTAAAATGACAACGCATGTTGAGAGTTTTAGGGTTCTATTAAATATAAGCACAACTGTGAATGTAATCAGAGGTTTGACATTTCTGGCAAACTGAAGGCTGATCCAACCGTTTTCAGCAGTTTCTGTGAAATGTATTCCAAAAGCTGCAGTTTGCAGAGTCAGCTCTTGGGCTGCTTGTCTAAATCAATATCAAATGTAAAAAATATACTGACAATTGCACTTTGGCTGCTCTCAGAGTTAAACAGATGTCTCAAGTGAAACTTACTTTTCCCAGAGCAGTCCCAAAACAAACTCAAATTTATAATCATACAGAGAAAAACATCTTTACATTTGAGATGCTGGAACTACTTTTTAAATTATTAAAAATGAGTTGTGAGTTTTCTATCAGCAGGCTTT